CACCATGTGTGCGGCATGGCGTCTGATCTCGACCCTCTCTACTAGGCCATCTCCCTACAATGCCGTGTGGATCGACATCACCCTTTTCTATCCATCATCTCATCACAATAAAGGGTAATATTCTAAACACATCAATCTCATACCTAATAAGGGAAATAGTCACAATTCACTCCTACACCGACACATGTAGTTTCGGGGCTAGGTTACTTCAATCTACCCTTCCTCGGAACTAACGATACTCCCAAAGTGTTGATTTATTTAAAGGATTTACAAGTCATTTAAATATCTTTTACACGTCTCTTTGTTTCATTGGCACTAATGGCCCCAAATGTAATGTCATTCTTGGCACGTTGGCCGTATTTCATATTTCATGTTCACCTCTTTCAGTTTCAAACATCATCACGGATCATCAACAACAAAGCATTTCTATTCAAGATTTTAAGTACACATGTGAGAAAATGAGAGTCTTATGCACATTGAGATTTCTTACCCAATTTGTCATAATAGCTTTCATTTGAAACATGACTTGAACTTATAACATTTAGATATGCAACCCATACTTTGAACACATTCTCAAATAGTGACATAACATAACAAGAACATTTGGAGTACATATTGAACATATATATTTTGACACAAGGCTTATTCGCAATAATAAATTTATAATGAACAACTTGGGACTTACAAGGGCATTGTGGGGTTCAATTCTAAAAGAGGAGTTTAGCCAACATACCTTGCCTTGAGCTTTCCTTAAGTTACTACAATGTTCAGAAAATCTTAGCCACTTAGATCTGTTTAGAAATATAGAAAAATTGAACACAAATTAGGAAGGAGTTCATGGTTCTAGCTCATTTGAGAATTTTATCAAATACTAGGTGTGCATTAAGGTTTCAAGGTCCTCCTATGGTGGATTCCTTCATCCCACAACCTAATATCTACCCTTTTTAGCTCAACAACCTTCCTACAACTTTATTGGTACATGCATGCATAGATAACACTCCCATACCTAAGAATCACACTCCTCATTATCCATCTTCTACCCCAAACTCAAAATTGAAGACTAGGGTATGAAACATTACCTCTTGGATGAAGACCTTGTGACTTTTTCTTGTGAATTATTCAAGACTTGAGAAAAGATTGATAAACAATTAGTTTAGGAACCCCTTCTCACTCTAGAGCACTTCTCCACTCTAAAAAAATCAGATTTTTACCTTACAAATGGTCTTCAACGACTATATATCGAAATAGGGTCGGGTTACAAAATTAGAAAAAATGAAGCCCTGATGCAGATCTGCAGTCGCATATGCGACCGCATTACACTTTCGTGGTCCGCAAAATGGATCGCATAATGGTCCTTTGGAACTGGGCACTTCTGCGCAGGTATGAAGCAGGTCTACGGTCTGTAGACCAATTCTGCGATCGCATAATGGACCGCAGAACCTCTTTCCGAAATTCCTCAGAGTAGATCTGCGACAAATGTGCAGCCCGCAAAACAATTATGCGGCCACATAATTGACCGCAAAATAACTTCCTAAGTTTGTCCATTTCTTTGCTTCACTCTGCGGCAGATCTGCGGTCCGCAGATATGTTCTACGATGTAGAATGGGCCGCAGAAATGTCCTGTTCTGCCAAAACGTTTCTTCAACTCCCCAACACACTGTTCAACCCAAAAAATCCGTACCACGGCTCGCAATCATCAACACATAAGTCTACCTTGGCACCACGAAACCTCGGGTTTTAGGTAAAATTTTACGGGGACTTACATCCTCCCCCACTTAAGATCATCCATCCTCAAATGAGGGTCAAAGTTCACCATTAGCATCCAATGTGACTCAGCTGCTAAATCACACACCAACAGTTCCAAATTTTTGACTAACTCCCTAAATTTCCAAAAACTTCACCAGAGTTTCCCCCGTAATTGGGCCTATCCACTTGTCAGAGAATCCCAGAAACCAAATCTAACACTACATACTTGAACCAATGAGGCAACATAACATAAACACAATGCCAATTGTGGCCTCACAAGTAGTATATTACCAAAAAGGAACACCCTTATCATCAACTGTACAAGTGAAACATAATTCATAGAAGGTAGACTCTTAGCATTTTCGTAGAACACAACTTCATAATTACATGGCTATACAAACAAATGAGGGTACTTTTTCTTCATTTCTTCCTCAGCCTCCCAGATGGCCTCTTCAACCTGTTGATGTCAAGACCCAAATCAAAGGGCCGCAACGGGCACTCGGCGCCTTAGTCAACCGAGTACCAACATAATGTATCTTTCTTATCATACTATCATGGATAAACGATCCAGAAAGGCCTTCATGAGATAACAAGAATAAAATATAAGGGAATACTCGACCTATGACGTCCCAACATGATATACAAACTTATACATATGACATACGGGCCTATAAGGTTGACATGGTCATTTGGACACTCAAAACATAGGCTGACAAGGTCATACAAGTATCCATATACTTGACATTTGTCTACAAGCCTCTAAGAGTACATAAACGTCATAAAGGTTAGGATAGGGCCCCGCCATACCAATCAATACATATCCAAAGCATACCAACCAAACAGGCAACTCTGAAGCAAGTGGAGTGCACCAACACCTTCCGCTGAGCTAATAGCCTACTAGGAGGACTGTCAACCTGTGGATCGAGACTTGCGGGCATGAAATGCAGCGTCCCCAGAAAAAGAGGCATCAGTACGAATAAAGTACAGGATATGAAAGGAAGAAAAGCATAAATAAGAACAATAATGTAAAGAGAGGTAGAAATAATACAACCTGTAACATCTGAGTGCCTCTGAGGGCGACTTACACGAAGTACATGACACATAAATATATACATATACTTTTAAAAACATACGCCTCTGTGGGCATCATCATCATCATATCGTACCCGACCTCAAAGAGGATTCAGTAAAAATGTACCCGGCCATCATAAGGCTTGGTAGAATCGTACCCGACCATGTGAAGCTCGGTAAAACCCAACTAATCAGTAGTTGCACAATAGGTGCCGTACTCGACCAACTATAGCGCGGCTCGATAAGGTCGTAGCACCCTCGATTAACATTATTGACATCCATACCATCAATATGAACCTTAATAGGAGTCAAGGATCGTACATACTTGTTTAGAATAACTTTATAAGAAAAGAACGACATAGGCAACCTTAATTGCTATGAGTAGATCCGTTATGAAATAGCGTATCATTTATGTTGATTTCACTTTAGATCATACCAAAATATAGAAGGAAGTTCCTTAACATACCTTTAAAATCTTCTATCCAATCATCAAGCAAGCTCAATATGATCTTCTTACATCTATAATGAGTAAACCGACTTCGTTGTCATAAGCGTCGTAACTCTCATATTTGGAAACCAATATTCTACAAGAAAACTAAAAGCACCTCCCCTATTTGTAATACATCCCATATGTTACCAAAATTCACCAAACAACCCAAATAACAACAAGATAATTCATAATAAGCTCTCTAATTACTTCAACAACCATTTTGAGCGGCAAGCTCGATTTACGATTAACAAAATATGGTTTGAATCCAATTCCTTTTCCATGAATCTGCCTATAACATCTACAACATTATACTTATACTTAACATATCATTTTCATCCCAAAACATCATAAGAATAATCTTCAAATATAATCCACACGCCTAGCACCTTAACCTTTATTGTCAACCTCTTGTTTTTTCATGCTATCTTCTTCAATGAACTTAATTAGCACATAGATAAGCTTAAAAACAGCAGCCATAATATAATCAAGATATTTATAAAAATTACCAGCCACAACAAACTATATATGGCCTCAACATAGCTCATAAAAAAAGATAACAATTCCTTGTGCCATGTCAATTACTGTCTTGTAGATTTTCTCTCAAACAACTCAACCTACACATGATTAATCTTAAGCATCATCAAGAACACGATTTAATTACCTTAATCAGTAGATACAACTTGAAATCCCCAGCTGGTGTAGCTCACAACAACCCTCAATCACACCACAACACTATAGGATTTGTATTCTCTTCTTGAATCAACTTATGTGTTCAAGTTGGTGTGTAAACACTTGTATTTCGCCTTAAAACTCTAATATATGAAAGAGATACGGATTATTGCCTTAATAACAATAACAACACAAAATCGGAGGTTACTTACCTTTGAAGAACCCTCCAAAATAGCTACAAGATGAAGAACTACGATTTAGCAAGCACCACGGGATTTATAGCGCTGGATTCATGTTTTTATCTTAGGTTTTCACCCTAGAATCATGGAGTAACCCTTGGAGATCATTTAGGAGAGTTTATAAACTGTTTTGGACGAGAAAAATGAGTTAAAACGAATTAGAATTGAGCTAAATACAAGTTGGAGTTTTACACCGACTTTGTGGGTCCCATGGGAGCTGCTTGCGCAGTCTCACAAAAATGCGAATATCTCTCTATTCTGATATCGTATAGATGAATGGTTAAATTAGTTAGAAACTAGACTCATATGTCTTCAATTTTGTAGGTATATCACCCCATTATTCCAAGTACATTTGGAGAAAATCTCAGTTATATTTGACCTAATTTTCAGCACATTTATGAATGTAACTTGTGATGACCTTTGTCAACTTTTGTTCCACAGCTCGCTTGACTTAAAAACATAGCACACGACTATCAAAAGAATAAAATAAATCATAAAATAACCTCCTTATAATGTTAAAAACCCTAGTATCACCCCAAAAGTACATGTTATAACATTCCAACTTGTCGACTTTCGACGAAACTTATTTTCTTCAATTCTTTTAGCTTCTAAGCCTTCCAACTCTCTTGGTGCTTGGTATTCATGATCTTAAATATTTGTAACCTCTAAGGTAACATGATTAACTTACTTTGTAAACTTTTCAAAGATGATTTCATTTATGAGTTTACATCAATTGACTTACGACATACTCTTGCGTACGAAAACATGGGGTGTAACAGTTGGTTTCACCATAGTACTTTCACGGAGGCAATTTCTTTATTTCTCAGCTTACAAACTTGACTATCAAGAATAGCAATTGAAATTTTGTCATAAGTCAATTCTTTGTTAACCTCAATATTCTCAACTGGAATAATAAGCAACAGATCTCCAACCACCTTCTTCAACATGGATACGTGAAACACCGGGTCCACTAAAGACATCTCTGGAGGTAGTTCAAGCTTGTAAGCCACCCGACCAATCTTCTAAATGATTCTGTACGGTCCGACATACACTCAACTTCCCTTTCTTACTATACCGCATTATACCCTTCATGGGGAAAACCTTTAAGAAAACCCAATCATCCTCTTTAAACTCCAAATCCTTGCGACGCACATCCAAATAAGACTTTTGATGACTCTGAGCGATTTTCAACCATTCCATAATGTTCTTAACCTTCTCCATAGCCTAATGCACGAAGTCTGGCCCTATCAACTCTGCTTCCCAAATCTCAAACCATCCAATGGGAGATCTACTCTCCTATCGTATAAAGCCTTGAACGGTGCCATATGAATACTAGCATGATAACTGTTGTTGTAGGCAAATTCTACGAGTGGAAAATGATCATCCCATCTACACTTGAAGTCAAGAACACAAGCGTGCAACATATCCTCAAGCGTCTGAATAGTCCGATCTGCCTGCCCGTCGGTCTGCTGGTGAAAAGTTATACTAAGATTCACTTGAGTGCCCAAACTAGCTGAAATTTATTCCAAAGATTAGCTATGAAATGTGCCCCTCGATCTGAGATAATAGAAACTAGAGTGCCATGCAACCTGACTATTTCCTTGATATACAACTGAGCATACTGTTCTACTGTATCGGTAGCCTAAACAGGTAAGAAGTGAGCCGATTTAATGAGTCGATCCACAATCACCCAAATCAAGTCGTACTTACGAGGCGTGCGAGGTAGTCCCACCACAAAGTCCATATTGATCATCTCCCACTTCCACATTGCAATTTCTATGTTCTGTACCAACCCACTTGGCTGTTGGCACCATGAAACCCTGGGTTTTAGGTAAATTCTATTGGACCTTACAGTAACGTTTTGTAAATTTCCAAGATGTGGGCCCCGCATTGACTTTTTAGTTGACTTTTCGGATTTTAATGTGAAGTTTAGCATTTTCATATGGAATTGATTCCTATAACTTGTGTTGAGAATATTTAAATTTATTTTGGCTAGATTCGATCCATTCAGAGTTGGATAATCGAGGAAAAGGCCTACTAGTGGATTGAATTAACGCAAGTTGAGGTAAGTGACTTGTCTAACTTTGTGTGGGGGAAATTCCCCTTACGATTAGTGATTATGATATGTGAAGGCTGTATACTCAAGGTGACGAGTTGTACACGGGCTAAAATGTGAAAATATTCGGTTAAAAAAATGTAGATTTCTGTCATGTATTAATTGAGTTATTTTATCATGTTATATTTGTATCAGTAGTCTATTTTCATATGTCCTATTTGCATTACCTTTTTCTTGCTAATTGCTCTACCTATTTAGTTAATGCTTTATTTTCTTTGTTTTATATTCGTTATTTGACAGCTGAAATTCTTACTTGAAATTGTTAAATTATGAAATATTTTTAAATGTTGAAATTGGTGTTGAGATATACAGACCGTGAATCACACTGAGACAAAGTGTTAAATTGTGAAGTATTATTCTATTGTGTTGTTCACTTCCAAATATTTTGTTAAGATGTTTTATATTGTGATTGGGCCATGGGCTCCTTATTGTGGAAAATAATGCTATTGTTGAATTCTTTGGCATGTTAAAATATTTGGGCACTTGAGGTGCGAATTGTGATATATTGTGATATTGATACGCATGCGGTGGTACAAGGTCTGGGTGTTGAAATGCATGCGGTGAGATAAGGTGGGCTTGATACGCGTGGCTAGTAGGGGAACTACTAGAAGACATGTGGTGTGATAAGGTGGGTTAAAATGCGGGATGCTATTTTGGGAAAAATGATTTTTAAAGCTAAATGTGAAGGCTCCCGCGGTGATATAAGGAAAGATTGTGAATTTATTTATGATTTGGGACTTCGAGGCGGTACCTTGGGAGTGCCCTTGTTAATATTTTTCTGTTGTTTGTTTATTTATGATTTGGGACTACGAGGCAGTACCTCGGGAGTACCCTTGTTGATATTTGTCTATTGGTGTACTCATTTTTGGTTGTTTTGTTTTCTTTAACATGTAAATCCTTGTTTTCTTCCGTGGTGTAATATTTGCCCTTATTCAGTGTAGTTAAATATCTGGCATACCGCTTACTTGTTTTATTTCCATTATCATTATTGTTATTATATTATTAAAATTTTTGCCCTGTTTTCCTATTATTTCCAGTAGGGCTCTGACCTGACCTCGGCACTACTCTACCGAGGTTAGGCTTGGCACATACTGGGTACTGCTGTGGTATATTCATGCTACGCTTCTGTACATTTTTTGTGTAGATCGAGGTACTTCCTACTAGACCAGGTATCAGTGAGCTAGTCCGTACGTGGAGACTTCAAGGTATATCTGCCAGCGTCCGCAGACCTCGGAGTCCCCCTCTATTTATATTATGTTATTTACTTATCTTTTTTAGACTCTGATGTATAAAAATATTCAGCACTTCTTCATAGAGCTTGTGACTTGTATCTTCGCTGGGTTTTGGGAATTTCTATATGTACTGGGTTGATGAGTTTTAAGAGTATTTATTGTTATTTTAATTATTCCGCATGTTGATAGGCTTACCCAGTATTAGAGACTAGGTGACTTCACGATATCCTACGGAGGGAAATTCGGGTTGTTACAATCTTGTACCCCTTTCATTTCCCTAAGGGCAAGCTACAAGAAAATGTAATCTCGTGAATGTTGGAAAACAATGTTGTAATCGCTGCTCTTGCCTATTACAATCCAAATATTATAAATGGAAAAAAAAACCAAAGTTTGCTCCAGATCTAAACGTATCAAATCTGATTGTTTGTCAAATATTCGCGATATATGCTCACTTCCAGTAAAAAGAGGTCCCTCGCACTTTTGGGAACGCGCTTACTTGAATACATGAACTAACTACTATATGTGCTCATCGTTGTGCAAATACTGAAACTGAATTCTACTCTTCTTTTCCTTTCCTTTCTTGCATTACTTTATTACCCCGAAATAGAGGTTGGTTTGTGTTGACTCAAAAAAATTGGCTGAAGAACCACCACCACCAACAACCCAGTATAATCCCACTAGTGGGGTCTGGGGAGGGTAATGTGTACGCAGTCCTTACCCCTACCCTGGGGTAGAGAGGCTATTTCCGATAGACCCTCGGCTCCCTCCCTCCAAGAACTCCTCACCTTGCTTTTGGGGTGACTCGAACTCACAACCTCTTGGTTGGAAGTGGAGGGTGCTCACCACTAGAGCAACCACCATACAACCTAATGTCAAAGGGGAAGATGTCTACGACTGATGACCCGACCGGACATGCTTTGGTGATAGCTGATAGCCCGAGGCAATCGAGAGAAAAAAATGATACTGGGAATGACAAACAAGTTGCTAGGATAACACAAGACATGGAATCACTAAGAGATGAGGTATAACACAATCGGGAATTGGCGCATGTGGCCACGATGACGCTCCCACAACCACCCTGATTTCTTTCACTGGATTCGATCCCCGATCACTTTACTTCAACTACCCGCCAAGCAAACTATACCCCAACGCCAGTCACTACAACCCAGATTATACCCCCTAGTAACCCCCGCAAACCCACCAAATCCTTCTATACATACCATTTATGTACCAAATTATGTTCAGACACCGCAAAACCCACAAGTCGCTACTAATGCAGTTCATACTCCTCCTCTTGACGATTTTACCTTTGCCAACAATCAAAACCAGCACATAACTGCATCACATACTGTTACACACGAGCGATATGTTCCACCCATATATGCCTCTTCAGAACCCACCTTCATGGTGCCTGTCACGGTCAGGTTGCCTTATGAAGTTGATCAATATGTTGAAATAGAGAGGGACACAAAGAATAAAGAGGAAGAGTCGATATCCGAACAGTTGCGAGCATTGAGGAAACAAATAAAGAAGCTTCAGTTTGCTTGAGGGAGCGAGAGCCTAGATTACAAGGATTTGTGCATACACCCTGATGTGGACATACAGTAGGGTAAAAGCCTCCAAAATTGGACATCTTTGATGGGACAGGTGATCCCCATGCACACTTGAGAGCTAATGCGATAAACTGGTTAGAGTAGGAAGGAATGAGAAGTAAAGGATGAAGCTATTTATGAGGAGTTTGATAGGAGAGGAACTAACTTGGTGCACCCGCTAGGATTCTAGAAACTAGAGAGAACGACAAGATATGGCAGAAGACTTCATAAACCATTTCTAATTTACCACAGAAATTACTCTAGATAGGTTCACCATGGTAAACCTGCAAAAGAAGCTGTCAGAGTCATTTCAAGAGTATGCACATCGATGGAGGTCAGAGGCCGCCAGAGCCCAACCCCTGTTAGATGAAAATGAGTTGACTAAATACTTCATCAAGTCTCAAGAAGGAATCTACTTTGAAAAGATGTCGGGCATGATGGGGCAGAAGTTCCCTGAATTTGTTAAGATGGGAGACTTTTTAAAGGATGGGATTAAGTCAGGCAAGATACAATCCATGGCCACATTGCAAGCAGCTAGCAAAGTAATTTAGTATGGTTCGATAAGCAGCAGAAAGAAGAAAAAGGAAGAAGTGTCAGTAATCGTTCCCTATTACCAGTCCAGTTCACCCCACAGAAACAACTCTTACTTTTTGAATACCCATTCTCCACACTAATCTACCTATGCTCCAGTATACAACATGCAACCATACTATAATCCCCAACCTCAATATAACCCACCTCGCGCCCATATAAATCCAAATCCACCACGACTATAAGCTCCAGTTCAGACCACCACCCATCAAATCGACCCACCTATGCACCCCGACCTCGCCTAAATTTTAAAGAAAGAGGTCCCACAAACTACACCCTGAATACTGAACCTTTGGCTCAATTGTTTGAAAGGTTGAGAAGAGTTGGCTTGATATATCCAGTAGAAAGGAGGATTCTTGATCATCCTTCTAAATACTTTGATGCAACCAAACAGTGTGTCTACCATTCAGGTGTACAGGGGCATGATCCCGAGAATTGCTTCATACTGAAGAATGAAATTGAGTCACTGATAAAAAATGGAGCCATTCAGTGCACCCCAACTCTACCAAATGTGAACCGCAACCCACTGTCGAACCACAGGAATCAAGGAGCTAATATGATCGCTTTGGATGAATAATATGACTTGAAAGGGACTATCGTCACGATAGGGAATACCGAGGCTGAAAGGTTCCACCCCGAAGAACTCCGTTGATCACCGTACAGTTAAAACCTCTAGTGATGGTCCAGAAA